AGTCCTTCCAACAACCCTCAGGTTTGGCACAACAGAGGGAACTTAATTTCCCCTCGAGGGGTGATGCCAGCCTCGTTAATTGGAAGCAGGATGAGCTGTGTGGATCATGCAGAGTTTGTCCACATCGGTCACAAGTGAAAACAAAGGGCCTGGCTTGGGATCTGGGCACGTTCTCTTCTTTCTCTTCCCTTCCCTGCATGAACTCGCTGAACCCGGGCCTGTTATAACACTGGCGAGAGGGGCAAAGCCCATCAAAAACCTGGCAATATGCAGCATTCAAGTGGCCTTTGCTGCAGCTGCTTACGCACTTTTAGGCAGACAAATGATGGGGTCCTCCTGGTTTGGTTCGGCCATCCCTCATGATCCGGTAGCTGACCAGCAGGGATCTCTGCAGGCGACAGACTCTGAAACAGCCCCCGAGTTGTTCCAGCCCAATGCTTTAACTCATAGCAGCATCCAACAAAGATACGTATGAAGAGAGAGATACCTTTTGCCTGGCCAGTGAGCCTGGCGGGGCTTTAGGGAGTAAACACATAACCAGGCATCCCTTTAGCATCAGATGATGCCGCTGAAGGTTGGTAACACGCTGTACGGACCTGGGCTCGGGCAGACCAGGCGCTCCAGAGGGGGACCTCATAGTCTGCCACCGATCCTGTGATTAAACTTGCGAAGGGTGGGCAGCATCTTCTCCCAGCTCTTGTGCAGAGCAACAGCGAAGAGGCATGGGTCCTGGAGCCGTCCTGGCACTGGGTGTCTCAGTCACGTGGCGGGGAGTTGCACATGTAGTGTGGAGCCAGTGGGCCATGTTTCGATGAGCTGTTTTCATGTGAGAAGGCCAGTTCCTCAAAACAGACGCTTTTCATGGGACCGTGTCGATCCGAGCACAGCTTCCGCTATGGAGGTTCCTGGGTCCCGGGGGCGAGGGGAAGGAGAGGCCGATGCACCCACCTCACAAGGACCTGGTGGCTGTGGCAGTCTCCTAAAAACTGTGAGCCCCGCTCCAAGGCCCGGCTCTGGCTCCATCATCGATCTGAGTTGGGACGAAACAAGTTTCAACCTCTCGACATGTTTCCCCCGCAGGGATCTTGCTTTGCGTGCTGCCCCACCGCAGCATCAGTGGGACGGGATCGCAAGACTGACGTGTTCCTCAGACCCTGTTTGCTAAGACAAGCGTGGCTCGCTTCTGTGAGCGTTGTTGAAGCGATCTTTCTCTGGGGCAAAGCGCAGGCCGATGCACGGCCGCAGCAGCCAGCCACCTCCTGCCCGCATCTGGGATGCTGCCAGCCAAACTCCCAAAAGCGTATCTATAAAAGCAGGACTTTCCAGCAGCACGGGGCATCTCAAATCCTCATTCGCCTGCCGATGCTTATTTATCACAGACCGGCCCAGCTGGCATCACTTGGAGAAGTGCAAAAACCCAGTAGCTGTGAAATCTCTGGGCCATCGCGGTCTGTTTGTGTTACCTATCGCTTCTCACCCGTGACGGGAGATTTCACTTGGCAGGGTTTAGAGCTGGCTGTTTTCCTTCTAGTTCCCCAATCTCCCCTTGTGACTGTTTTCCTTAGTTCCCAAATGAAACTCAAAAGCTCCTACTTATCCCCAGGGCAGGGAATGCTCCTGCCAGGCCAGGGCTTGCTCCTATACTGGGCTTGCTGCCCTCCCCCTTCTCTTGGGACCCCGCCGTGCCTGCCCCAGGGAGCTGCGTCCGGGGGGCACTGCTGATGGCTTGTGTGAAGCAGGGGGCAGAGCCCGCGGGAATCTCACCACGTCTGTGCAGAGGCAAGGAGGGAGATGGGTGGCAGGCATTGTAGGAACGGGAGGTCAGCTGGGCTCTGTGCCACTCGTAAACAGTGCCCTGCGAGCCTCCGGTCAGGCCCCTGTGCTGCCATCTTCCACGTGCCTAGCTGAGCCAGACTGCCCGTTATCTCTCAGCTGACAGGATGTGAAGGGGGTGGTGGGGTCTTGGAACTGCCCTACCCACCTGCCAGACTGCCCTCTAGGACCAGTGTCTGCCGTGGCCTGCCACATCCATGCGTGCTGGGGGGGCTGGGTTTGAGACCGGCAGGTAAAGACACCTAGACTAGGCACTGCGGTCCCCTGTTCCTGGAAGAGCTGCCCTCAGAGAGGCTGCTCCAGACCCGGCAGGGCAGGTGCAAAGCCAGGGGCAAGCGCTGATTAGATCAGATCTGATCCTTTCCAAATGCAAATGCCCTGCCGGGCTCCAGGGGAGCTTTCCCAGCTCACCGAGGCTCCCTCCTTCCTGCCTGGGGTGGCAGATCTGCTCTGAGGAGGGGACAGAGGAGGATTTTCCTGGCTTTCGGCAGGTAATTGATAGCCACTGTCCTTCCTTCCCCTCCCTCCCTCCCGTTATGC